ACTATGCACTAACTCTCCCAATAAAGACACCAAATGAATAGCGAGAGTAGCATAGATTTAAAATGTGAATTAATTATTGTAATTAGTTAATGTAAATTGTATTTGTTCTTATATCTAACTTACCTTTCTTGTATATTAAGCCCTTAGGCACGTAAAGTAAGATATTATCAACAGGGCATGTTATCGTGACGCGGCCGCAGAGCAAATGAGGCTACGCGCACCGCGCCACGAATTTTTATATTTATAGTGCTGAGGCGGGGGTCAGGGTCCTCAGCCTAAAGTTGTCAAAAACAAAGTTTAAACCTTTTTAATATGAAAAAAAATTGTTGTGTACATATTAGTATAATAAGTAGTTGTAAGAATATTATATATTTAATTCTGTTTGTTAGTTCGTAAGAAATATAACCCAATAAAGAAAGGTGCGGGTGTGAGGCAAGGGTCCGCTGGCCAGAAACGGCCAAACCATATAAAAGACGGGCCAGCCGATACGGTCGGCAGTCGCTCTCCAGCCACCGAAAAGAAAACACAGCAAGAAAAGAAAAAGTACAAGTTCCTCCTCACCGCCGCTTGCCTTCTGTGTAAGCAAGACCAACGCGTTTCATTCATTTTTCAAACGGCTTTACGGCGATCCGTAACATTAATGGTCCTTCGAGAAGCCGGATTACCAGAAGAAAAAGACAATATCGGTCTTGGTATTGCCGGAAGAAAGAAGCAAACCGCAAGAACGAAAAAATATTATTTTGAAGAAAAATGGTGATTACGCGTAGTAACAACGGAGAATCATCGAAGCGTCGCAAAGATAAACAGATAACCCAGGGGGCCACAGAAGAGGCCTCCGGGGGCGACTCAACCGCTAGTGGTTTATTAAACACCACGAGCGAAACCACAACGGTCAGCGATACAACCGCTACCTCTGCGACCGATAAAACGGCCGCAACGGAAGAAACCCAGCAAGAGAATGATCGAAGATCGCAGCGCATATTAAAGCACGCATATTAAACGTAAACATAGCGAGAATACGCCGAGAATAAGCTTAAAAGGGACAGCAAAAGAAGCCGCAGGTTGCCTACTTATAAGCCAACCAGATCCCAGAATGATAATAGAAGCTTTGGAAAGGAGATTCGGACGACCAGAAGCGTTAATTCACTTAGAAATAGAGAAGCTGAAGCTGCTGAACAAAGTTACGGACAATCCCAGGGAGCTACGCATATTCGCTAATCGCATAACAAACGTAGTGGACACCGTGGAATCACTCAAGAAAGCACACTATTTGCATAGTCCGGAAATGACGCGAGTTATCACAGACAAACTCACGCCCATATTGAGAAGCAAATGGTACGACTATGCAGCCAGAAAGAAAGAAGATATCCCAGAGCTTAAGAAGATATCAATGTTCTTAAACGAAGAAGCGGATAAATGCAGCGCGTATGCCTTGCTGGAGTTCATCGCAGAGGACAGCGAGACGAGAGAGCGAAGGCCGAGAAAAATAGAACGTGCCTTCGCCACAAGCAAGAAACAATATGAAGAACGCTTCCCTCAATGCAAACAAGAACACAAACTGCACGATTGCAAGTCATACGCCGCTCTATCCACAAATGACAGATGGGAAGTAGCAAAGAAGTATAATATCTGCTACCGCTGTCTGAGAGGCAAAATCGCCGATTGCTTTGTAAAGCTCCACCGTGCGGAAAAGGCGGATGCATGATGATGATCATCATCATCATCATCATTACAGCCCTTCACAAGTCCACTGCTGAACATAGGCCTCCCCCAAAGAATGCCACAAAGCACGGTCCCGAGCCACCTGCATCCATCGACTTCCTGCATGTCTTAACAGGTCGTCACTCCATCTCGTGGGGGGACGCCCTACACTTCGCCTACCTACGAGGCTGCCACTCGAGAACCTTTCTTCCCCATCGGTTGTCGGTTCTTCGAGCTATATGGCCGGCCCATTGCCACTTCAGCTTACTAATCCGTTGGGCTATGTCGGTTACTCTGGTTCTACTGCGGATATCCTCATTCCTAAGTTTATCACGCAGAGAAACTCCGAGCATAGCCCTCTCCATAGCTCGCTGAGCGACCTTGAGCTTCCTCATCCGGCCAGCAGTGAAGGACCACGTCTCAGTTCCGTATGTCATCACTGGCAACACGCACTGGGTGTACAGTCTCGTTTTCAAGGTTTGAGGTATACCTGACGAGAAGATGTGCCGTAATTTCCCGAACGCTGCCCAACCGAGTTGAATCCGTCGATTGATCTCTCGGTCGAAGTTGGACTTACCAAGTCGAACTAGTTGTCCCAGGTACACAACAACTTCGAGCTTAGTTCTCCCAACAACTACCGGCATATGTGTGCCATGGACATTGAACATGATTTTTGTTTTGTCCATGTTCATCTTAAGACCTATCCGTTGGGAGACACTATTGAGGTCATTGAGCATAGTGCTTAGGCCCTCCAGCGATTCTGCCATAAGGACTATATCGTCGGCAAATCGAAGGTGAGTGATGTACTCGCCATTGATGTTGATACCGTATCCTTTCCAGTCCAGAAGCTTGAAAACGTCTTCCGATGCAGCGGTGAAGAGTTTCGGGGATATGACGTCACCCTGTCTTACACCTCTCTGCAGTGGGATAGGTTTCGTACTCTGGTTCTGTACTCGGTTAGTCATCGTAGCCCTACTGTACAAGCACTTCAACACTTCGATATACCGACAGTCAACTTGGCACCGCTGAAGGGACTGCAGCACCGCCCAAATTTCGACGGAATCAAAGGCTTTCTCATAGTCCACATACGCCAGACATAGTGGCAAATTGTACTCTTCGGACTTTTGTACAATTTGCCGCAGGGTATGTATGTAGTCTATGGAGCTAAAGCCCTATCGGAAACCGAATTGTTCGGGAGGCTGGAAGTCGTCAAGTCTGCGCGCGAGACGATTCGTAATGACTCTCGAAAACAGCACGTAGATGCGGCTCAGAAGGGAAATCGGTCTGTAGTTCTTCAAGAGAGCGTTGTCACCTTTCTTGAAGAACAAGACCACCGCACTTCTGCTCCACGCCTCCGTGTAATGCCACCATGGAGGACAGAATTAAAGAGCTTCTGAAGGACTTCAAGTACCGGTCTTCCACCCGCTTTCAGAAGCTCCGCTGTAATTCCATCCTCGCCTGGGGCCTTACAGTTTTTAAGATGCTGGAGAGCCATTCTAATCTCACTCAGACTGACGTCCGGGATATCTTCGGAATAGTGTCGGATGAGACTCGCTCTTGGATCGTTACTCACACTTGCGTGTGGCTCCAACGATGACGTGTACAGCTGCCCATAGAACCTCTCAATCTCACTCAAAATCTTAGGTGTCCTGGAAACGATGCTGCCACACTCCGTCTTCAGCTTTGACAGTTGGCTATTTCTGGCAGACAGATCTCTGGCAAAGACTTTGGAGCCTTGGTTCCGCTCGATCGCTTCTTCAATACGAGCTGTATTAAAATTGCGTAAGTCCCACCGCATGCATTTGGAGATCTGTCTGTTCAGATGCCTGTATGCTGTCAAGTCTGTGAAAGAATGTAACTTCATCTCCCGTCTAACAGCCAGGAGAGTAAGAGTGTGAGATAACCATGATATAGTATTATTTGCAGATGACACTTCTTTAATTTTCAAATTAAGTCGACAATTGCTAAAATATGACGAAGAAAATAATGCTATATCTAAATTAGTAAATTGGTTCAACATAACATAACATAAACATAAACACTCACGCCTGTCACCCAGAGGGGTAGGCAGAGATTATGGACTTCCATTTGGCACGATCCTGACACACCTCTCTCGCTTCCTCCACATCCATATACCTACGCATACACGCTCGTCGGTTAAAGGTACTCTTGATATGGCCCATTTTTAATGTGCCATATAAGTCGCTCGCGTCCGTAGGCTTCGACCACCTAATCCTAGGCCCACCCTACACGTGTCCCTCGGGTGGTGCTAAACGAGCGACAAAGCCGAAAGAACTGACTCGGCTCCTCGCCGTGTGGTAGCGGCGTAAAAAATACCACAACTTACTTTCGCACCATGAGGCATAAAATTAATGAAAATTAAATTGGTTCAATGTTGGCACTAAAACGAAATGTATGAAATTTATGACTCCAAATGTCAAACAAATACTAATGTAATTTTAAATGGGGAGAAACTGAGTCTTGTAGATACCACCATTTTTCTTGGAATCACACTAGACGCGAAGCTTCAATGGAGCCCCCATATATCAAATCTAGCAAGCAGACTTAGTTCTGCAGCATATGCCGTAAAAAAGATTAGAAGTCTAACTAGTGTTGAAACAGCTAGACTAGTTTACTTTAGCTATTTCCATAGCATAATGTCGTATGGTATTTTGCTATGGGGACACGCAGCTGACACTGAAATTATATTTGTTTTACAGAAGAGGGCCATAAGAGCAATTTATGATTTAAAGCCTAAAGAGTCGCTACGACAAAAATTTAAGGAAATTAATATATTAACTTTGGCCTCTCAATACATTTATGAAAATGTAATGTACGTACACAAAAATAAAAGTAGTTTTACAAAAATAAGTGATATTCATTCTGTAAATACTAGGAACAGACACAAGCTAGTAGTACCTGTTACTCGACTCCATCGAGTCTGTAATTCATTCTTGGGGCGATGTATATATACGCTTTTACAACAAAATTCCAGAAAATATACAAAATTTGACCTGCTCAAAGTTCAAAAACTTTATTAAACAAAGTTTGTATAAAAAGCGTTATTATAATATTAATGAATTTATAAATGATAATAACCCCTGGAAATGAGGTGATCGCTACCAAGCTATTTCTAATTTGTTGTGTTGTTAATTTGTGTAACATACATGATTGTGAGCTGTTATTTAAAAAAAAAGTCCCGCTGGGTTTCTTGCTGATTCTTCCCAGGACAGAGGTTTTTTTTTCGAACCAGTGGTAATCATACAAAAGAGTGACTTTCAATAAGTATTATTTATAATCTATATTGAATAAAAAAGTTTCTGTTTCTGTTTCTGTTTCTGATCGGAGAGTTTTTGTGTTCTTCTGCGGCGGGTCTTGCAGAACTTAGCTCTGACCGCATGGACAGTTTCCACGAGCCTGTCATTCATATCGTCCACTTCATTGCAGTCTTCTATGCACTGAAAACAGTTTTGTAACTCGAGCTGAAAAGTTTCGGGACTTTGGAACAGAGCACGAGGGGGACGGAGCGTTGACTTCATTAGACGAGACCTCTTCAATTTAATGTTTAGGTTCAGTGTGCCTCTAACCATTCGGTGATCGCTACCAGTTTTCACCCTCGCGATCACGGAGACATCACTCAACATTTGTCGTCTGGTCGTCATAATGAAGTCAATCTCATTTTTTGTCGAATCGTCGGGGCTCGACCAGGTCCACTTCCTGTGGGGCCGCTTCTGGAAGAAAGAGTTCATCATAAAGAGTCCCTTTTTCTTCATGAAGTCGGCCAGCTGCTGGCCCTTTGGGTTCCGTTGCCCTATTCCAAATTTCCCTACTTTCTCTCTTGTACCTAGTTTTGCATTGAAGTCTCCCATTAACACCGTGTATTGGGTTTTGGAGGAATGCATGGCTCTAGAGATATCCTCATACATTTCCTCCACCTCCTCATCGGGGTGTGCCGAGGTTGGTGCGTAAACCTGTATGACCTTCAGCGAATACCGTTTGGTGATTCTGAGTATAAGGTACGCAACCCTCGTCGATACACGCCCGATCTTTACAACGTTGTTAACGAAAGACTTGTGGACGATAAATCCGACACCTCCTTGGGACAGATGGTCGCCCTCCCGGTGATAGAGCAAGTTGCCGGATTCGAGGATTACCGTGTCCTCTCCCTCTCTTCGGACTTCGGATAATCCTATAATATGCCAGCGCAACTTGTCTATCTCTTCTTCCAGCTCCACGATTTTCTCGTAAGTCCTCAGGGTGCGTGCGTTGTACGTTGCCAGGTCTAGTCGTCTAATGTGGCAACCGAACCTCCACCGGAGATTTTTAGCACCCCCTGCCCAAAAAAATAAAATGTGTTCAAAAAATATTCCAAATGGATATTTTTTGAAATTTATGCTTATAATTTGCATTTAATTGTTTAAAATATAATTTCTATGACATTTTTAAATGTCTGTATAATGAATTTAATTATTATTTTTTAGTAATAATTATGAGGCGTCACAATATCTTGACAATTAACCGGGAGAAGCTCTCAACTAGGAATGCGCGGCTCGAATCCTAGACCGTATATCTACTAGACGCGCGTACACTATTCCGCACTCTCGCCCGAGTTAAATATCGCACAATTCACATATCTACGTGATGAAGATGCACGTACTTCATCTAGCTATCTAGATCCACGACGGGTCTTGAATTTCGCTAAGAGAGCCGCACGGGCTCCCTGCATCGTGTCTGGCGGGGCACCGACCTTTTGCCCACGCGTCGAGCGACTGCCCACGCGTCGAGTGATCGACTGCCCACGCGTCGAGCTCGGTCGCCCCACCTCGGCGCTTATCTCACCTACATACCATCGGGTGAGGCGCCAGCTTGAACGCAATTGGTTGGCGTTAAAAATGACCAAATTTTGGCATAAACAACAATTAGTTGTAGGTCATACAAATACTTGGTCATTGCTAAGCCACTGCGTCATGGAGCCGTCTCCTTCAGAATATTACTACATTATTGAACTTATATTATACGAATAAGATTTCTATACTTATGTACTTCGTTAAAAATTTGAATATGGTGACAAATATTTACAGAAAAAAAACTTCTATGGTCATGGGAAATCATAATGGTGTATAATGGGTTCGCTCGCCCTGAACAGTTTCCAATCTGTGTCGCGTATGCTATTATCATACATAACAGTCAAGGGCTAAGTTTGAATAATGCTCACATTGATATTGAGTCATCCACGTTATCTCGTGGGCAGGCTTATGTAGCACTCTCTAGTGTGACTAATGTATGTGCAAAGTGTTCACCTTATAAATATTGGCTTCGTGGTAGTAAAACATATATATATATATATATTAAGCGATAGATCAGGGCGATACTTGGCTCTTACGCATTTTTTATTGGATAGAGTGACAAACGAGCACACAGTCAGACATATGCATCTATACTCGTTTGCGGATTAAAATGCAGATGTGTTGTCACCCGTGAGGACTAAGATGGAATGCCTCTTTTCCAGTAAAAAAGGTCTCCGGTTCTCTACACTCACCATACGAACAGTGTTAAGCTGCTATTTTACGCTGGTATCCTGTGAGAGCGTGGTCCTTCCCCAGTCGAGCCAACCCATTCGTGCTACAACTATACTATTAATATAGCTGCAACATGGCTCTACCACGTAAAAAAATGAATATTTTTATAGGATAGGTTGGGATATACCATCCCAATTCATTTATTTTAATAAGGCCATCTTCTTCAGGTATTTTCCCACCACCTAATTGTAATAGAAAACTCGCGAAATGCGTATTACCTCTCCTAAGTGGGCTTTCATGTTTGTTTTTAAGGTGATTGATTGTACAGAGCTCCATAAAGGAGACGCCTTTAAGCAGGCTTTAAGTATATCTGCACGTGTTCCTCTATGCATAACAAGAAGAGTTTGACAAAAGCCACTGGCAAACACGAAGGTGACGCCTCCCATATTTTATCTGAAGAATTACAACTAATAGTTTTAAATATCTCTCTCTCTCTCTCTCTCTCTCTCTCTCTATCTCTCTTTTGAATCTCTATTATTGTCTAAGAATTGTACTTAAATGATTAAATGTAACTGTTATGTTCGTGTAAAGTTTTCTGAAGATGTGCTATTAGTTCTACGTTTAAATTAGGTACTATGTGTGACAGTGCGTAAACTTGATTTTGTTCATACAGGATATATATAAAGTAAGTATTGTGCATTGCTTCCTTCGAAAGGAAGTAGACTTTCAATTAAGTGGTTAATTTGTCCATGAACTTTAAAGGTTATGTGTACCTTCCCTAACTGTATTTGCCCCAAAGGAAGTCATTTGAAAAATGGTATTGTAACGTCTTTTAATATTTAAGAAATTTGTCCAAACTGGATGATATCTTAATAAGAGATCTTTGATTAGTTGCAAAGACTCAGGAATATCTATTAACCTTTCCCAATTAATATTATCAAAGTCCTTAAGCTCCGTCCATCTATTTTTAGGCTTTGCAATTTGGATATATTTGTGTTCACTGTGTTTATTATCTGGATTGTATTGGTAAGCAGAGCAATTTCCGTGCACAACCTGAATATTTTGCTGTTGTCTGATTGATCTTACCTCAAGCATATGACTTCAGTGTCTAATCATTCTTTGGCTACGTTCAGCACTGCTTTCCCTGTCACGCCTGATTTATGAGTCTCTGTGACCGTTCAGAGATATACTCCCAAAATTTGATACGCTCTTATGCGTTCACTGTAATCGGCAAGTCTCTGTGAACGTTGTGAAGTTTGGTTCGTTAGATATTAGTAATGGAAATGCTGTTGCTGTTTATTTCGTTTCGAAGAAGCTTTCGACCTACGCGCCTGTTTTAGTTTACACATGGAAATTTAATAACCAGAGAAGTTAAGTTAAAGGGTAGTCTAAGGCACTTGCCGTATTCTGTTGTTTTAATTGAATTTTTTTAAATTTAAATATTTGACCTTAAGCCTTACACTTACAATGGGCGGACTTAATGCCTTGTTGCATTCTTTGAACGTCTACAGTGGGAAAGTAAGAATTAGTAAAGACTTAGGTAACATGTATAACAACTAATATTTAACAATTGGATCGACTTTTAAATGCAGTCTTCACCATTTATTTTTATACGGTCGGCTCAAACTAATAAAGTAACTAAACTAAGTAAATATGTACAACAAATATTCAGCAGTTATAGTGGACGATTTATTTTTTTACATCTAACCAAAAAAAATCGGTTTGCTCGAACTAAGGAAATAAAAACCTAAGTACTTAAATTAATACAAAATGAGACATAAGTAATATGTAGAACAAGTAATATTTAACAATTGGATCAACATTTAAATGCAGTCTTAACCATTTATATTTATACAGTCGGCTCAAACTAATAAAGCAACTAAGCTAAATAAATATGTACAACAAATAGCCAGCAGTTATAATTTCCGATTTATATTTATGCAAAAAAAAATCAGTCCGCTCAAACTAAGGAAACAAACACTTAAGTACTATTAAATTCTAGTAAAATGATAGGCCGCACTAAAAATGCAAATTTGAAAATTTAAGATAACCGTCAACGACGTCTGCCCCGTTTACGTGTCTGGCCATTTGGGTAGTTCACTTTGACACGGTATCTATCCCTCCGCATACCGCAGCCGCAGCCCCTTACGTCATCGGCGTACCGCGCCAACAGCCATCATAATTATATAGAGTTTTTATATAAAAATGGTAATTGTGAGTTACCCTTAGAACATAGACATATGCTGTCGCCTACTTTTTTTTAGAACTTTTCAAAAGGAACAATTCAGCTATACATTATTTTCGTGCAACTTTACCTATTGATGCAGCGCAGGCTGTGGAAGTTCTCAAGTGGCACGAATTTTTCCGGCTTTGTTCACAGATATCATATTAATTTTAAGCCATAATATAAATATGTACACATAATATATAGCCAATGTCCATATGGAATAATGTACCTATCAAATGGTGAAAGAAATTTTCATATAAGTGCAGTGCGTCCGAAGAAAACCCTCCACATATATTCAAACTCACAGACATCGCACTCTTTCTTTATAATATTAGTATAGAATAGTAATGAATATAGTGAATAAAATTTTCACCATGTGACGGTAGCGAAACGGTCAAGCCACATATTTTGACTAAGTTGTAGAGTTTGTGGAGTTAAAACTTGTAGATTTAGGGCGTGTAAAATAGAATAGAATAGAATATTTTTTTATTCAATATAGATCACATGTGCAATTCTTATTGAAAGTCATTTTTTACTTTACCACTGGTTCGAAAAAAACCTCTGTCCTGGGAAGAACCAGCAAGAAACCCAGCGGGACATTTTTTTTAAAGCATATTTTACATTAATGGTTGTACAAACTATATAAAAAGTAGAGTTAGAAGCTTGGCTCTACATGAGATCTGATAACTTTTTGACAGTGCGAGCCATATGGTCTCGTCTAGCCAACATTTCACATGAAAATGTTTTTGGTGGGATTATACTTTCAGGCTGTGAGTTCCATCTTAAATGTCAAATGTGACAACGCACTTGTAGTCTTATTTGTTTGATGTAAGATTGTAAGTTCGTTTGTCTCTTCAATTTTTTAAGAAAATCTTTCAATCTTTAAAGTAATATTTTATATTAAAATAGTTGGCAACCCTAGCTCCAAGCCACCGTTTAGTGAGCATATTCCAAAATTTTAAGGGAACCGCTTTTCCTGACTTCCCGGAGCGTCGGTGCTTCACATTAGCTATATGATCTTATACGCGGGTTTTCATTTATCTTTTTATCTGTCCTATGTAAGAGAGACCACATTCATAATCAAACTTGCTGCATCTAGTAGAGGGATGTTATACTAGAAGCCCTGAATATAGGCAACCTTGTCTGTGATTCCTCTGAGTGTGGTAGTACAGCAGGAACATGCTCGATAGTGTTCCGTTTCATTTGGACACTGTGACGTAGATGCAGGATCCAAAGCTCGTTGCCGTAAAATGGTTGCTTGACGTGCTAAAGTTCAGTGACAAGATGTTTACTGTCATTGATCCCTTGTACTTTCTAAAACAAAGATTTACCCACTATTTACCGTACCTTTTCTTTTCGTACTTAACATCAAACATACTTCGAAGTATACCACCGACTATTCAAGATCAAGCGTTCTTTCCATCACTTACCTTAGTCACCTCTTACGATATCGGAGGAAAATGGTGTCATGTATGCTCTTGGATACTCTTTCATCGCCACCACGTTCCAAAAAAGCGACGGTAGCCTAATGGTTGGGTGCGGGTCGAAAACTTCGTGAGTTCTATCCACCACAATAGAGTTATTCCACCATTCAACTAATGTCTACGTGGTAGGGCCATGCTGCAGCTATATAGTTGGAGTACAAATGGGTTGGCTCGACCGGGAAATAACCACGCTCGCACAGAACACAAGAGTAAAATAGCAGCATAATGCTGCTGTGTTGCAATAGTGATTGTAGAGAACGAGAAAGGTCTCCACCTTTTTTATTGGAAAGGAGGCATTCCACCTTAGTCCTCAGAGGTGAAATGTGTCTGCATTTTGGTTTTTAATTCAGGGTAGATTTAGATGTCTATGGTTAAAAGCATCCATTTACCATCGAGTGGACTGTGTGCTCGTTTGTCACCCTTATCTATACTAATCTATACTAATAATATAATAAAGCGGAAGAGTATTTTTGCTTTTTTGTTTGTTTAAACGCGCTAATTTCTGGATCTACCAGTCCGGTTTGAAAAATTCTTTTTGTTTATTATAGCTAGATTCATGTGGAATAGTATAGGCTATCTAGCATTAAGCTATATTACTCAGCTAGCCTTAAATATGGATATTTGTTAAGCAAGTCAGAAGAAAAAGCACTCCCGAAATGATTTTGATGATGATACGTAAATACAATGTTCTAGAAAAATCTAGACCTTTACCCGTCTAAAAAAAATTCCGCGATGCCATATGTCTATTTTTTATACATAAGCCATAATTTGGTATTTTGTGACAAAAAAATATTGAAAATTTAAAAGTGATTTATGAGCGTTATTATTAGGCATGGCCTATTTATCCTTACGAAAGAAAGTTACTTCATCATCAAGACAATTTTATGATGATAAACTTTCTTCTTTATACTGTAGCCGGTGGAAGGAAAAGGGGAGATCTCCCGCCGGGCAAGGTGTTCTGCGCGGGGAACGACCAACGCTCCGAGTGGTAGTTCGGAGCTATTCTATATATACTGCTTTAACTTCAGAACTTTGTTAGCGCGATTTACGCTTCGATGTGTTTCGCTTGTGGCGCGACGATAACGCCGCCACATCACCCCCCTGCTCAGACTGGAGGTCGATAGTGAAGTCTAGATGTCGACGAATTTGTAAGTGCCAGGGAATTGCCCTGTAAGTCTGCGGTGAGTCGAGAAGAAGGCAAGTGATCTGCGAGAGATATGGTAAACAACAAAAACCATTAAACTTACTACTACTATCCTATAAAAAATAAAACTTGCATTTTTATCTATGATCTACAATTTTTACATACAATTATTATCAACAGTAAATCCATTAATTAATATAGTTTACACTTATAAATTAGTGTATATAACAGCACACTTTACTACTTAGTCAATTCGAATAGCGCGCGATTCCCCGGCTTCCTGTTCACACTTCCGTATCTTTTTATGAAATCACTCCCATAGATTGCAGGAAAGCGAGATGAAAGATGTTATACATCAAAAAACAAACCCACTCAGAATAAAATATGGTAAACAACGAAAACCATTAAACTTACTAATTATTATTGAATTGTCAATCTGAGTAGCGTGAAACTGGCGCGTGTTTAATTAAAACAAAATTTAAATGATAAAGACTTTCGGTTATTCCGACGCCGACATCGGAAAGCTTGTTTGTCACAATTTTAAGCTCGGTGGATTTGAATCGGAATTTTGTTAATTATTAAATGGGCTTCGTTTGACGTAAATGGAGCAATGTGGTGATAGAATTTTTGTAAATTTAAAATACTAAGCAGAATATTTATAGTGATAATTATGTTTATTTGCTAGTGGGGGCTGATATATTCGAGTCCTTTTTCGGTATTGTAGAAACTTTACTTGTAATTGTAGAATTTTCTCTTATATCATGCAGACCTTTTAAATATGTAAAGTGCATACAAATAGACAATAGAAAAAAAATTATATTCAATAACTTTGTAAATAAAAATTACGTGTCACATTGTTTGTCAGCTATGAACTCCCGAAACTACTTAACTGATTATAATGAAATGTTGTAAATGCTTATTGCTCGCTTCAACTTGAAAGATAGGATAGTTTTTATCCCGATAAGTGACACTCAATATTTTTAATACGAATATAAAGATGTTTTAAAGAACAAAGGGTCGCCGGAATGGGTAGAACAAAGTCTATCATCATGGCCAACTAGTAGATTATAATTAATCAAATCAAATCAAATATCTTTATGCACGTAAACTTTAAACAAAGCACTTATGAACGTCAACATATCATAATAATAATAATTGTTATTTAGTGTTCACACTATACTCATACACAGAAAATAGCTACGACGAAATACGTCTTTGGCAAATTTACGTTAACTATTAG